AATTGTTTCTTGTTCTTTTCTCTGATCTTCTCACAAACTTTTCCCAGAGCAATGCCTGGGAAAGTTGTGTTTTGCTCTGTGGCCAGAGAGCTGCTGCCACACCACTGAGCACCAGTTAAACAATGAGGCCTCACCTTATCCCACCACAAGTAGCAGTGGGTGATGGTGCATGCTCCCAGGAGTGTAAAGCCCTGACTTCTCCTTGGTGCAGAGCCCACAGTATCCTTTTGTGACACAAGGAAAAAGTAGAGCAGTGGGTAGAGGACAAGATCTACCTCGTGTGGGGTGTCACAGTGCTGGCTCCCTGCAGCTGTGACCCTCTACACAGCACATGGGGCAGAGCCCAGAAGCTCTGCTGTTCTGCTTTATGTCCAGAGTACCATGCTCCCGCCCAGGAACAAACAGTCCTCATGCCCAGTGAGGCAGTGGCTGTGATGGGAGGGAAGCAGCAGCCAGAGAACACAGCTCTGGGGTTGACACTGCTGTGGCAGAGGCTCTGGCCATCCCTGTGGGAGGCAGTTGTGACCTCAGGGCTCTCTCCTGGCAGATTATTGCCGCCCAGGAGGAGATGCTGCGCAAAGAGCGGGAGCTGGAGGAGGCGCGGAAGAAGCTGGCAATGATCCGGCAGCAGCAGTACAAGTTCCTGCCCTCGGAGCTGCGGGACGAGGAGCAGAACTGAGCCGCACGCCCTCCGCTCGCCGCACAGACTGCCGCCTGCTCACCTGCCTGCTCCTATTTAAGACGACTCGCCACAAGCAAAGGGCTGTCTGGGCTAGACCAGAGCTCTGCCCGCACCCAGAGCAACGGGACTAACTCGGCTGCCCCTCCAAGCCGGTGCTGCACCAGCAACTCCGCTTTGCTGCCCAGCCCACCTTCCCATGCACACCCAAGGCACAATCAGAGCGCTCGGAGGGACTCGGTTGGGGTGGGAGCCGGGGCTGCACTGGCTCAGGGCTCACCCGCCAGCCCCGGGGTGCGGGCCCACAGAGCTCTCCACTGCAAGGGGATATTTACTTGTGCCTTCTTCCTTCCCTCTTGTGCCCCTTTCTTTCTCTCCTCCACGCGGGATGGGGACAGGCAGGTGGCTTGCCCTCTCCTGTGCGATGGCGTGCAGGGAGCAGCCATCCCTCGCTAAGCTCTCGCGTGGAGCTGCCTTTCACCTCCAATGCCTTATTGCTGGCTGAATCTTCCTCTGCAGCTGTCCTGGAAGGCCCTGAGTCCACCCCATGAGTATCTTTTTCAGCCCAGGGTCCTCTGTGGAGCAGCAGGGCTGGAAGCCACAGTGCCTCCACTCAGGATGGGGGATGATGTGATGAATTCACCCCCCCAGAGCTGTTTTTTGCCTTCCTGCAGGGCTTTCCCCTGACTGCGGCCCCAGCCAGCTCTGCCTTCCTCCTTCTTCCCAAGTGCCTGCATTGTTTTCCAAGATCTGCAGTATTTTTGTAACTTTTTCATTTCTCTAGTATTGAGCCTGCAGCTTCCAAAGTTCATTTATTTCCCTGCCTGCTCATGCCCTGCACACTAACACCCGGCTCTCGCCGGGGTCCCGTAGCCCAGCATCCCACCCCTCCTCGGCTCCGGGACCCCCGTCCCTTCCCCTTTGCACTCGCTGAGGCTTCTCTCACCATTTTGATACTTTAAGCATCCCATATTAAAGATTGAAGGAAACCAGCTCCCCCCTAAGCCTCCGGGGTGGGGTGGGGGATGCCAGTGTCTCCTCAGAAAGACGCATTCAACAATAAAATCTGGTTTTCCTGCTCTCTTGCCAACTGGGTATCAATGGGCCTCTCCAGGAGAAGGGGAGGGCAGGGGGGCCTGGGCGCCTTCCCTCCCGGCAGAGGGAGGGGGGAGTGTACCACGGGTGCTTATACAGCATGGAAAATATTTGAGGCACGTCCAGCCCCAGGCACCCGGCAGGCCGGACCCCCGCTGCCAGCCATGTGCTGGCCTCGCAGGTGCTGCCGGGGGGCCACCACTGCAGGAAGGGATCTTGCGGATTTTGTTTCTTGGGGATTTGGGCTTCAGGGAAGGCAGGGGGGGTGTTTGTGTGTGGAGCTCAGCTCCTGGCCCCATTCCTGCTACCAGCCAAATACACTCCTGGGTAGGGTGCAATAGGGGTGCAGGTGGAGCGGCTCCCACCCCATAGTCACTGGTGGGCCATCAGTGGGGAAGCAACAGTCTGTTGTGGTGTGGGTCTGGGAATGTGGCCGGAGCCTTCCCGGCTGCCAGCGTTGATCTCACGCCCCGAAATAGCCCCCCAGAGCCAACCTGTGCGGGCAGCAGCTGCCCCAGCGTGTCCCCACCTGTTCCCACCCTGTCACTCAGCAGGGATTTGGGGGGCCTAAGCAGTGGCAGGGCAGGCGGAGCTGATGTGGGGTGCAACAGGGACGTTGCAGGGTGCAACAGGGGCACGGGCAGGTTGGCACGTGTCCTTTGCCTCTGGGGCTGTTCCTGGTGGTGTGAGCTACAAACATCAGTGGCAAGGGCAGCATCCTGCAGCATCCCGGACAGCAACCCCTGTCCCCCTGTGGTCACGTCCCTGGGGGTGTGCAGGGCCTGTTTCTCCTAAGACACTTACCCCTGGCCAGGCTCCAGGGTGGATTTGTGGCTCTCACAGGCATCCCAGTCCTCCCAGCTGTCCCCTGACAATCTGCACTGGCCTGACCCAGGCTCTCACCCAGGTACCAGCTTGGACACGGGGCCCTTTGGAGTGTCCAGCGAGGACAGTGAGCGGGCACAGCATGGCAGCAGCTCTGGTCTCATCCTGGCATCCTGGGGAGAAGGGAGCTCCAGCACTCCCTGCATAGGGCTGTAAGCATATCCACTGCTGTGTCCTCCAGCTTGGGTACAAGCAAGAGGTGGCATAAATACCAGGGGAGGGACATGGGGGTGTGATTAACAACCGCCCCTCAATATCACACAATGATCAAAGGGCTATTTTGGCAGGCAGGTTCAGGAGAGCACATACAGAGGTTTGGAGCTGGGACGACACAGTCATAAGGTGCCAGGCCACTGCAGGGATCCAAATTCAGCTAAGTTGGAGGTTAGTGGGCAAAACACATCCCAGCTTCTTGGGGAGTCTGGGGATGGGGCAGCTGGGGATTGCACCTGGAAAGGTCTCATTAGTTTTCAGGACAAGCTTTTCCTTGGGAGTAAGGTCTGACCTAGCTTGAAGTATGGAGGGGATTGCCATCCTTGGAGACCTCAGCACAGGACAAGCCTGGGCATGGGGCAGCAAAGAGAGGGATGTTCACCCACACCCCCCTGCAGTCCCTTTTTCCCACAGGTTACCACAGAGGTCAGGCTTAAGGGCAGAGTCATGGACCTTGGCTCCTGGATGATTCCAGCAGTGTCCATCAGACATGGCTATGATGTCTGGAGCAAAGGGGGCAGAGAGAGAGAACAGCATCCTTTGAGGGCACATCTGAGGGCTGGCCTGGCTCCAGGGCAATTTCCTTCATTATATTTGCCCCACACACTGAGCACATGAAGTTCCTCAAGCCAATGTAGTTGCTCCAGGCTGAAACATCTCGCAGAAAAACAATTATTCTCTCCCAGGAATGATGGGAGATGAATCTTCCCCCTCCCCTCAGAAGCCACATGCTGGCAGTTACAGACTCTCCTTGTCCAAATATGTGCCTAATTTATCAGTACTAATAGCTTCTCTCAAGTCCTGCTGTGGCTCTTCTGCTTTCCCCATGGAGCCAGCAGCCTGTTGGTCCTTGACTGCTCCCACCCCTCCTATGCCCTCCACCATCCGGGCCTGAGGGCTCCTAAAAGGAACTTCCTCCAGCTGTCAAAAACTTTTTGTTCCTCTCTTCTTGGAGCACTGGTGCTGAGAAGTTGTGTCAAGCAAGGGTTGGCTGTAGCCCAGGGGCAATGGGTTGGGGGAGCCTGTGCACCCCTCCTGTCCCCATCCCATCCCAGCCTTCCACACGTGCCACACGGCTCCCATGGCCCCTCCACCAGCTCCTTCCAGCCCCCCCGACCCACAGCCCACCCTGCAGCTGGGAATGTGCCAGAAGCATTTACGATCGTTATTAAAGTACAGGTTATTTTTGGAGGAGCTGGGATTTGAAGGGTTTGCATTTTTTTGCCTGTGGAATACAGTTTATTTAGAGCAGAAAGATGAAGAGGGGCAGTGAGCTGCCTGTATGCCCTGTGTCACTTTAAAATGCCAATCTAGGGGCTGTGCATGTGCCAGGTGTCCTTGTGAGTGCCAGGGAGAGTGGCACCAAGGTGCAAGCAGAAGGAAAGTGGGTGCCAAGAAGTGTGCACAGAGTTCTGGCCCTCCTACCCCACCAGCAGCTGGATGGGAAAGTCAGGGGCTCTGCTCAGTTCTCCCCTGGGGGATTTTCCCCATGTGGGCAATGCCAGCCAAATGCATCCCTCAGTGCAATCACAGCCTGAGTGTGTCCCCTACAATTCAGTGCCAGGCCACTGATGTTCCCAAGTGCCATGCCAGCCCTTGAGGTGTCCCCAAGCCAGTGCCAGCAAGCAGGGTCCCTCAGGCCCCAGGGTGCTGTGACAGGGCATGTGGTGTACCTAGAGCACTAGCATGAGGACAGCTCTAGCTGGGGCAGTGCCACTGGGGTACCCATACTCAGTGTCCCAGGATGTCCCCTGCCCGCTGCCATTGGGGTACCCCCAGCACAGTGCTACGGAGTGTCCCTCATCCAGCATCCAGGGGTACCACCACAGCGTTGCCCTGGGGTGTCCGTCACCCAGTGCCACCAGGCTACCCACAGCACAGTATCCCAGGGCGTCTCTTGCCCAGTACCACCGGATTGTCCCTAGCGCCGTGACCGGGGGTGTCCCTCGCCCTGTTTCCCGGTGGGTGCCGGGCGCCAGGGCTGCGGCGATGCCCGCCGGGGGCCGCCCCCCCGTCCCGCTCGGTGCGAGGGCCGGTGGCGAGCCAGTCCCTAAAAGGTGCTGGCGGGCGGCGGGGGAGGTACCGGGGCAGCCCCCGCCCGGCACGGCCCCTCCCCAGCTTTTAGGCAGCTCGGCGGGGCGGGGAACGCAGTGCCGGTGCTCCCTCCGCTCCCGGTGCTCCCGCCGCTCCCGGTGCTCCGCGTCCCTCTGCCGCCCCGCGCCTCGCCGCCGACAACCCGCCACCATGGAGGCCATAAAGAAGAAGATGCAGATGCTGAAATTGGACAAGGAGAATGCCATCGACCGCGCCGAGCAAGCGGAGGCTGATAAGAAGCAGGCGGAGGATCGCTGCAAGCAGGTGGGTGTCCCATGGGCTTCCCCGGCATTACATGGGTACCCTCCTCTCTAGGGGTGTCCAGCCCCAGGACCCTGTTCTTCTGGGAGTCCAGCCTGGGGACCCTCCACCCTAGGGTAGTCCAGTCCTAGAAACTCCATCCCGCTGGGTGCCCAGCCCCGGGGATGCCATCACACTGATCGTCCAAACTGGGGACAGTGCACTCTCTAGGATCACACAGTCCCCATACTGATCTCCCCGCACTGGTTCTCCAGCCTGGAGTCCCCTGTCCTAAGCATGTCCTGGCCCAAGGACTTTGCCCCTCTGGGTGTCCTGCTTGTGGATGCCAGCTCTAGGGATTGACAGCCCTTAAGACCTTTTTTCTCTGCGACCATGTCCCCAGGGACATCCCCCCATGTTCCCCAGGAACCAATACTTTAGTCTATTTCCCTTGACCCCCTGTGCTGGTCCCCCCAAACATGTCTTATCTCAATGGGACACCCCAGTTCCATCTCCCTATCCCTGTGCCAGGGAGAACTCTGGGGACTGCGTTCCCACCGCAATCACAAAGAGATGGGAACTCAGGTTGGTGTCCCCTAGAGCTGTATCCCCAAGTCAGGAGCTCTCCAGCCCCTGTACAGGGAAGAAGACCACCACCCCCTTACCTCCACCAGGCTCAGGGATGATGGGGGTCCAGGAGGCTGCTGTACACCAAGAGCCCCCCAAGGACCGTAGACCCAAAGCTGTCAGAGGACACATCCATGTCCATGTTTTCCTGCTGTGCCCCACAGAGTCTGGGTGACCCCAGGAGGAGAATGGGAGGACAGATCCCCTTCCAGCCTTGCAGACACTGCCATCCCCGCTGAACCCCACCTTTTGTCCTTTCCCCAGCTGGAGGAGGAACAGCAGGGCCTGCAGAAGAAGCTGAAGGGCACTGAAGATGAGGTGGAGAAGTACTCCGAGTCTGTCAAGGAGGCCCAGGAGAAGCTGGAGCAGGCGGAGAAGAAAGCTACAGATGTAAGTAGGCATGCCAGCAACTCCTCCCCTGCGCAGGCTCTGGACCTCGGGGGGGGGGGGGGGGGGGTTAAAGGAAGAGGGGGCCCTTATATGGAAAGCGTCCGAGGGAAGACTGTCAGGATCCCATTCCTTCGATGTTGACACTGAACCGGGCTGATGGGTCCTGCGTGGGGTGGGGGGGGCCAGGCCCGCTGCGGTGAGCAGCTGGTTGCTGGTCCTCTCTTGAACTTTGTGGGTAGCCTACAGCCTGGCTCCCCAAAGGTAACGGGGACAAGTGGCCCAAGCTGTGTCACAAGTCCCCAGGCACGCACCTCCTCAATGCTCGCAGGAAAAGCTGTGGTGCTTGCTAAACTGTGGCAGATCAGAGAAACAGAAAAGGCTTTTGCTGTGGTTAGCTGCTGAGTGCTGGTTGCAAGGAAGAATGCTTTGGGTGTGTGGAAGGGGATTTGGGTGGATTTGGGGGTCCAGTGTGCCACTTTGTACCCTGAGAAGGGCAAGGCCAGGAAGAGTTTTATTTAGTGCCATGACTGATGTTTCTCTGGGGAAATAGATCCCTCTGGGGAGATGTTAGGAAGGTGTTGAAATTGGCTTGTGCCTGGCCAGGATGAAGGGTGGAACAGCTGTGCGCGGCCACGGGGCCGCTTGAGAATGGGGTATAACGACCTGTGGTGCCACACAGGGTATTTGACACCCTATAAATAAATACTCCTTTTGATAGCCAGCCCCTCTTTGATGAAAACCAACCCTGGAAATTGGAGGAGAAGCTAAAGGAGAGCCGTCTGGAGCACAGCCAGTAGGGCACGGCCAGGCTTTTCAGGATTGAGAACAAAAAATTCAATCCCAGCTGGTTTATGGAGCTAAATGGGGGAGATGCGTCAAATCTCTGAGGCCGCCGCCAAGGACAGGGGTGAGCGGACAAGGACGAGCAGTGGCAACACCAGCCCTGCGGCAGCCCAGAGCCCCTGGGCAGCAGCCAGGGGTCTCCTCAGACCTCTGTGCTGATTCAACAGATGCCTCTCCTTTAAAACACTGAGAATCCTCTGTAAGGGCACATTCAACCTAGCATGGGGCAGGCATGCCAAGCTGGGCAAGGTGGCTGCTGTGTGCAGTGGGGTTCACACTGATCTTATGGGGTCTGTGCTGGTATGGGACAGGGCAAACTCAGTGTGCCTGAGAGTGGATGTGATGTTCCCAGTGCAGGGCTCAGAGGAAGGGGCAAACAGTGGTACTGGGCAGATGTCAGCTGTGGGGTGTGGAGGGGTTTGCTGATGGCAGTGGGCTGTGTGACGCCACCCTGGGCAGGGAGGGTGTTTCGCTGCTCTTGGTCCACAGCAATTTGGCAAATCTGTGGGCTTCAGCATGGACAGTGCCATACCAGAAGATACAGTGGGTGGGAGCCACTGGGGAAGGGCCAGAGCAGGAGCCATGGTGAAGGAACTGTGTCAGGCTGGAGGTTGGCTGCATCAGGGCTAGGGCTCCATCACCAGCACAGCCCTCCCAGGTCCATGCCAAAGCCTGGACAGGCTGCACCGTGTGTGGAGCTCTGGGAGTCACCCATCCACGCCAGGGACCTGAATGTGCTGACAGCTCTAAGTGCCAGGGCTGGTGTCACCTCCTCCCTGCGAGGTGCAGCACAGCTCCTGCTTCCAGCAGAGGAAGCGCTGGGTGGACCCCCAGAGCACTCTCACCCCAGGCACCCCCGTGTCCTCCCTGGCTGCCAGGACAGTGGGTGCCTGTGAGCACAGTGTGTCCCAATTCCTCAGACGGCTCAGGCTCATACCAGCGATCCAGGCAGCCTCCTGCTCTTGTCAAAAAATGTCAATGCCTTAAAAGAATAAACACCCACCTCAGTATGGCCCTGCCCTGCTGCTGGCACTGGATGGTGGGGCAGGAAAGCCATGGGGACTGCACTAAAGAGTCCAAATGCTTTGCCCCACGCACTTGGAGAAGTGTCAGATAGTGCACTGAGCAGGGAAAGCCTGACTCTAGATCAGCAACTCCACAGATTGTCCCAGCAGCTCTGCAAGCCCACTGTGGTCGTAGAACCTCTTGTCACCAGGGGGGACAGCCCACGGTGCCCAGGTCAGGATGGGCAGGGGCTGCTGGAAACGGTGCAGCTGGGACAAGAGGTTTAGGCCAGAACGGCCCTCTCCACTGCCCCACATCCCCAGCATTGGCCTGCCCCCAGCCATCCTGGAGGGGCCTTAGGGAAACTCTGCCATTCCCAGGCCATGATCCCAAAAGCTTCACCCGTGTTCCCGCCCCAGCTGCTTTCCCCAGCCAAGACTTTGCTCTTATTTGGCGATTCCCTGAGCTGGTGGGAGGGAACTGGACTCTGCTGGGAAGTGACTGCATCTCGGGGTGGGGCCACCGCAGGAGGCACCTAGCCTGGCTACTAGGGAATCAGGGTGGCTGCCCCCTAACCTGTCCCCCTTCTTCCTGCAGCTGGCTCGTCCCTGCCCCACTACTGCCAGGAACTCTTGTTTCTGCTCTGGGCCCCCATGTCCTGGCTTGTGCATTACGGACATCCAGGCCTCGGACTGGGAAGGGGCAGGACCAGCTAGGCCCACGGCCAAGCCCAAGGCTGTGTGCTCCCTGGGGACCCACAGTATCGCCTCTTCCGCTGCCTCTTGGCAAGGGGACACGGATCTGCAGGGTGCAGATAGCAGTGGGGCTGAGTCACCCCCAGGACCCCTGCCCCTGGAGGTGATGCCAGCTGGTGAGCTCAGCCTGGGAACTGGCATTCCTGGAGACAGGTGTGAAGTGCAGCCAGGGAGCTGTCAGTACATCTTAAGGGAGGATTGAGTGCCAGCAGCTCAAGCTTCTGATGGATCAAGACATGTGCCCCAGCCAGGATGGAGAGCCAGGAGCTAGAAGTTTGACCTCCCACATAGGGCACAGTCCCCAAGGCAGGTGGTGCCAAAGTCTCCATGGGCCCCATGAGTCTCTGTAGAGCTGCAGGACAGGTCCTAACACTGGGGAGCAGATACCAAGGGACTGAATATGGTGGATGCTGGGCAGCTGGCTGCAGCCCAGGTACCCCCAGAGGATGCCCACGAGCAGACTCCGCTCATGCCTCTTACTGACTTCCCAAAAGGAAAAAAGTCCACAACGCTCCTTAGCTCTGCAGCAGTGCCTGGGGAGAGCAACACTTGGGGAGTATGCATGGGTACATTTCTCCTGTGGCCATGGGGGCTCCACAGGACAGGCTCCAGCACTCACAGACTCCGTGGACTGCTGGAAAAGAGTCTATTTCCCTAGGGTCCTCTCCATTGGTCTGGGGGATTTCAGCGAGACTGTGCACCCCTGCCTGGGGGGCAGCATGCATTCTGGGCACAGAGAGAAGTGTGTGCCCTGCTTGGGGCCACTGTGTGCCCTCTCTGGGGTACCATGTGCCCCCTCAGGGGACCATGCATCCACCTGGGACCATGCATGCTGACCCAGGGTGGGGGGACACTGTGCCCTGCCCAGAAGCAGCTATGCATCTTGCCTTGGCCGGGATGTAGAGACAGTGACAAAGCCTGGGGAGGACCACGCACCCTGCCCGGGGGCACCCTCTGTCCTATCTGGGATGAGGGGCACTGTGCATCCCTCCCGGCGTGGGAACTCTCTCCTGCCGTGGGTGAGCACCGCACGCCTAGCCCGGAGGGGCGGCGGAGCAGGTCAGCTGGAGGCAGCAGGAGCAGGAGCAGCAGGAGGAGGAGGAGGAGGAGGAGGAGGAGCAGGAAGGGATGGAGGCAGGGCGGGCGGCGGGAGCGGCCGCTGCCTGAGCGCTTCCTGCCCGAGCCGGGCGGATCCCACAAAGGGCTCGGCGGTGTGGCCTCCCCGCCGGCAGCCCCCGCCATGGCCAGCGCCAGCTCCATCGATGCCGTCAAGAAGAAGATCCAAAGCCTGCAGCAGGTGGCCGACGAGGCGGAGGAGCGCGCCGAGCACCTGCAGCGGGAGGCCGATGCCGAGCGGCAGGCCCGGGAGCGGGTAAGGGCCGCTGGAATGGGAAGAGGGAGCGCGGGGGGCACCCCGGCAGCTCCTCGGGATCCCCCGCCGGCTCCGGCCCCGCTGCCGGCATCGCCTCCGGCGGGCCGGCCCCGGCCCCGCTGAGCCCCGGTAGCCGGGCTGGCTGCCGCCGGGGCGCAGGAGCGCCGGGAGGTTCCTGGGGAGCCGCGGGGAGCTGCCGCCCAGCTGGCGAGAGCCCCGGGGCACGGAGCCCGGGACAGTCCCTGCCTGCGGGCCGCCTCCCTCCTCCGTCGGTCTGGCGAGAGAAGATGCTGCGCGCCGCGGGGCTCCCCAGGGCTTCCCGGCTGGCCGGGCGCTGGGAGCGGGCAGCGGCCAGCCCTGCCTTGGGAGCGGGTGCCTCCTGGGAACGGATCTCTTCCCTCGAAGGCCGGCTGCACAGCTCAGAATCCCACGCCCAGGCTCTTGTCCGGCTTCCAGCGGACTCTGCCGTTCGGGCCGCAGAGCTTTAGCTCCAGCCTGTCCCTTCGTGGGGAGAAGCCACCCCTTCACACTGCCTCAGGCCAAAATTTCCATTTTGGCAGCAGGATGGTATGCCCGAGCTGCAGCTTTTTCCTGGTTTGTCTTTGCAGTTGTTGGAGCTTTCTGTTTTCTTCCTTTCTTTCTGTTTCCTGTGCCCACTCATTCAACATTCTCACCATATCAGGAGCGGCAGAGCTGGGTGCGGTACCCGGCTTGTTGTCACTCGGGCTGTGTGCGGAGGAAATGGCCCCTTCCTGCAGCCTCAGATCGGGTTCCCTGGTCACTGGGAGCTGCCGGGAGAGCTCATGTTCCCAAGTGTCCATCCGGACAGCTCTGACCCACTTTGGGGGTGATTCCCTGGGAAAAAAAATCTACCGACGTAGTGAGGCTGATGCTGCAGGCAGGGCATTGCCCTGTGGGCACCAGCTCCAGTTCCCCATTGGGCGGTCTGGCACGGGACGAGGTCTCTGGGTGTCTGTAGAAAGGGTGATCATGGGGCCGAGGCGGCTGTGGGGCTGGCAGCTGTGGGGCTGGCAGCCGTCTCAAAGAGGTGCTGGCTGTGCCTGTCCCCACCCTGCCAACTCCCCACAGGGGATCATGGGGCCATGCAGGGTGACAGCCCCTTGCTGCTCCCATAGTCCCTGTGCTTGGCTAGTATTCTCTGAGGCATTCCCAGTGCTGGAGCATGAGGCTGGCTGTGTCCAAGCACTGCAGCCAGCCAGTCTTGCTGCAGGCCGTGAATAAGCAGGAGCCTCTGTCTCCTGGGTTGGTGCATGGAGCTGCTCCTCACAGTGAGGTCTTATTGCCACCCATCCCTTGATATTTGGGGGTTTGTCTTCCTCACACTCTCCTAGTGGGAAACAGGGCTGAGAGCTGCTGAGGCAGCATTTCCTGACTGTGGCGATGGAGCAGGAGGCCTTTACCAAATGGAAAGAGTGCAAGGCCAGGCGTCAACAGGCTGGCGGAGGGCCAGGGCCACTGCTTCTGGCCAGCCCCAGCTCCCAACCCTGTGCGTGGGGAGCCTGGGAAAGGGAGGGCTCTGGTCCTGCCAGCCTCATCTTGGCCAGGCGCCAGCCTGCCGAGGGCGACTCGCTCCACTGCCCCCGGCACCGTGCTGTACATCAGCTGGGGGGGCTCTGTGCTTGGCTTCAGGCTGCCCTGTTGCACAGGGCCTGGGGTTCCTGCAGGAGAAGCTCCCGGCTCACTCCACCGCCTCTGTAAACAGGAAATCCACAAGCAGCTCCGATCTCCTTTTCGGGAGCGAAGCCGCACAGGGCATTCCTCCCCCTTTACTCACTGCTCTGCAAACCCCAAATACCATCCCTGTGACGACACGGCTGCTATGGCCACCCTGCCCCAGGGAACGTGCGCTGTCCCCCTCCAGGGCCCATGTGCTGTCCCCTCCAGGACGGGAGCTGGAAGTGTGAGGACATGGTGGGGCTGCACATGGCAAGGCTGGGAGAAGCCAGCATCAAACAGCCACTAGGGCTAGAGATAACCCCATAGAGAGGCAAGGGAATGCATGGTCAGGCATGCCATTCCAGTGAACATAGGCTTGTTACACAGTGCCAAGGGGCGTTCTGGATGGTAAATAGGGGTAATCATTGAAAATGCTTTTTGCAATGTATGTATTTGACATGGGATGACCGAGGGGTTTCTGTTCCCCCAGGCTGAGGCTGAAGTGGCTTCCCTCAACCGCCGTATCCAGCTGGTAGAGGAGGAGCTGGACCGCGCCCAGGAGCGTCTGGCCACTGCCCTGCAGAAGCTGGAGGAAGCTGAGAAGGCGGCTGATGAGAGCGAGAGGTGGGATGGAGAGAGACAGTGGGAGTGGCATCAGGTCACCAAGGATTGCACACAGCCTGCTTAGTTCTGCAGTGGGGTCCCTCTGAGGTGACCTTATTGGGGTTACTGTTCACTTTCCTGCAGACTTCAAAGGGAGGGAGCAAAGCCACAATGCAAAGAAGTCCCCCAGATACAGACATTCTTATCCAGAGCACACATAACATCCTGAAAAATTTTATCTGATATTTATAAAAGCACTAGACTGTAACCAAAGCCAGAAGACAATATGAGCATGCTTTATTTCCCAGAGCAGCTTTAGATGCTAAATGACAAAATAAGAGCCCAAGAGGGAACCTCTGTGCTGGTTCAGATTTGAGGACAAGACAACCTCATTCAAAAAGACTACTACAGGGTGTATGTTGCACCATCCTCAGGGCAAGTAGGTTTCCCAGACTGGAGCTGTGCAGTCAAGGGCACTCAGGGTGTATGGGAGTACCAGACATGTCACAGCATTCCTGGCAGTTATGGGAGCTCTTCCCTCCATTGGCAAAGATCAGTTTGAGCAACAGCATCTGAGTGAGAGAAGAATCTCCAGGAGCTCCTTCTGTGAGAGTTTGGTGATCCCCTGTTTGTGAGCATCACCCTGAATGAGAAAGGCTTTGCCACAGGATGTTTTCTGGTATTTCCTAAGGGCTTCCAGCCTGTCAAGCTGTTTTTGTGGAGGTTGTGGCTGGCTCATCCTGGGCTGGACACCTTTTCCCTCCAAATATGGGTTCAGAACCTGCCTGCTTGATTGGCACCATAGCCATACCTCACTCTGGAACATAGCCCTGGGGCCAGCTCCACTGTAATTCGGCACAGGAGCATTTCTGGGGTACTGGTGGTGTGTCCTATTGTGTGCTATCCTCCCCGAGCAATGTCCTGTGTCTCTGAAGCTAGAAGGTGGCGTGGTTAGGGTACACAATGTGCAGATGGGTTGGCAGGATGTGCAGATGACACCTTGACCCACAAGTACTAAAATCTGGCATGGTCTTTCCTCAGAGGCATGAAGGTCATCGAAAACAGGGCCATGAAAGATGAAGAGAAGATGGAACTCCAGGAAATGCAGCTGAAGGAGGCAAAGCACATAGCAGAGGAGGCTGACCGCAAATACGAGGAGGTGTGCACCCCATTCCCCAGTCCTGGCACCCTGGCAGCACCAAGAGCCATGTCCTTATAGCCCTGTGCCCCCAGCTGGGGCAAGCACAGGGCTAACATGGGTCACTTGCTGCCATCACCAGGTTGCCCGCAAGCTGGTCGTTCTTGAGGGAGAGCTGGAGCGCTCAGAGGAGAGGGCAGAGGTGGCGGAGAGGTGAGCAGGGCTCCTGGTGGGCAGCATGCAGGGGTCCCACACAGCCCTTGTCCCAGATCCCTGGCAGACATGGGGATGTCCATCCCTGGAAGCAATAGGGTCTGTCACTGGGGTGGTCTTTGGGATCGCAGGCTGGGGGTAGGGGTGTGCCAACCCACTGGCATCACATCCTTGACCCTGTTCTCTGCTGTCCCCCTCCCGGGGTGCCCCTCTTCCACCCCAGCCGAGTGAGACAGTTGGAAGAAGAGCTGCGGACCATGGACCAGTCTCTCAAATCCCTCATTGCCTCAGAGGAAGAGGTACTGGGGCAGGGGTGCGGGGCGATGTGCAGCAGCCCCCTCTCTCTGTCGCTGTCTCTCAAACCGTGCGAGCCACCTCTCTCCTTTCTGCACCACCGCCTCCAGCACCAGCCTCCCCTCACCCCCCTCTCCAGCAGGTGCAGGCCGGGCACGCTCCTCCATCCCTCCATCCCTGCTTCCCTGGCGGGGCCAGTGAAAGCTTGGCTGGTGGTGATGCACGAGGTATCTGTGCAAGGAAGCACAAGGAACGGATGAACAGATGCGTCCTGGCAGCTCCTGCTTGCAGTGGCTCTGCTCCTGGTCCACCTGCACTGAGTTTTCTCCTTTCTCAACTTGTTTTCTCTCTTTCTTTCCTGCTTCCCCGTGCCTGTTCTTTCTGCTCCTGCCTCTCTCCTGCCCTCTGGCCCCACTCCCCCCCTCCTGCCGGCCCTGCTTGGGATGTAGTAAATGTGGTGACCTAGAGGAGGAGCTGAAAATTGTCACCAACAACTTGAAGTCCCTGGAGGCCCAGGCTGACAAGGTAGGACCCAGTGAGGCTGCTAGGGTGGGAAGAACGCGTGGGGTCTGGGAATGCTGCGGTCTCCTGCTGGGGTGAAGGACAGCTGGAGGCATGCCTTGGGACTCACAGGTGCTTGTCTCTGTCTCTGCAGTATTCCACCAAGGAGGATAAGTACGAGGAGGAAATCAAGCTTCTAGGGGAAAAGCTGAAGGAGGTAAGGGTTGTAGGGCTGCCACTGAATCAGTGCTTGCCATCCTGTATGGGTTTTGACCCCATTATACCTATGTCCTCTCACGGTTTCCTAAATTGCAGCCCAGCATCATAGCAGGTACCTGGGTCTGGGATGATTTTCATTAGTATCTTCTGATTTAGGGTGTGAGGCTTCATGGAGCCTTAGTCACTTCTTGTCCCTTGCCTTTCTCATGGGAGGGCTTCTGAAGAAGGGTACCAGAGAAGCAAATGGGCCAGATTTGGAGTGCAGTGCAGCCTGCACCACCCGTTGTGTCCTGCATCTCACCCTTTCCCCCTGTGCTTCCCACAGGCTGAGACCCGGGCCGAGTTTGCCGAGAGGTCTGTGGCGAAGCTGGAGAAAACCATTGATGACCTAGAAGGTAAAATGTCCCCACCAGCCCCATGTCCTTCTTTGCTGGGGTGGCACTGGACACACCATGCCCCTGGTGAGGCTGGACAGTGCTTGGCTAGAGGGAGGGGTGGTCAGGAGTTCTGGGAGCAGAGCGGCTGGATGCTGCGGCATCTGGTGTGGGAGCACAGAGCTCCTGGGGTCTGGGCCCTGCCCTCGGGTAGGCAATAGGGTCACATCCATGCTGCCTGTGCCCGCACACCCCTGCTGCCCTCAGCCCGCTGCTCACAGCCACTCTCTCTCTCCACCTTGTGTCCTCCACTCTATTCCACCATCTGCTTCCTGCCTGCCCTCACCTGCAGATGAAGTGTATGCACAGAAGATGAAGTACAAAGCCATCAGCGAGGAGCTGGACAATGCACTTAATGACATCACCTCCCTCTGAGCCCCACGCTGGGCACCAGCACTGCACCTGCTCCCTGCCTGTCTCTCCCCAGTTTGGCTGTTTGCCTGCCTGGCCATCCCACCTCTCTCCCTGCCCTCTCTGTCCTCCTCTGTCCTACCTAGCCTGTGCCTGTCCATCAGCTCCTTTGGGACAGGAGCTGACCCGGGGTGTTCCCGCTGAACCCCTCTTTGGGGAGACAAGATGTAGGTGCTTAGAGCTGTTTGTTCAGGGCAGGAGAGCAGCCCCACATACTGACTGGACAGTGTAGTTGTAGGCCCATGCCACAGCATTGCCCTGGGGATCAGGACTGTGCCCAGAAGCCCTTTGTTCCAGCAGCTCCCTCCTTGGCTCCCCAGCAGCAGAAGCACTGGGGACCCTGCAGCTCCGGGGCTGGGGGGCCATTTTGCCCCCCATATACTTCCAGCAAAGTCCCCTGGTGCTGCTTGCTGGCCCCAGCATGGGGATGACCTGCATTGGGGAAGCGGCACCTCCACTGCCAAAGCTCAGGCCTGGGGGATGGAGGGTTGGATCCAACTGTGCAGACACCTTGTTCCCCGGCAGGCAGGCGACCCTCACTCTTCCCTCACCCTTCTGTCCTTTGCACATTGCTCTTCAGTTTGCATCTCATTACTTTTCTTTTGTGTTCTGTCCCTCTGGGTTAATGAGTTGATATCAATAAAATTTTAACATTGGTTTCTCCTTTGTTTTCTTCATGCCACTCTATCCCTCATCTCCTGCCTGTCTCATGTGGGTTCTGTCAGCAGTGTGGTAGGAGGTGGTTGCAGGCAGCTCACAGCCACGGGCCCCCCAGGCTGACTACGGCTGAGACCCAAGAGGCTCCAGGCTGAGCAGGACGGGGCCATTGTGCTGACCCCAGCCACCCCCTGACTCTCGTATGCAGCTTTCCCCATCTCATGCCGTCTTCTCCATGAGTCTTTTGGTGTGAAATGTCAGAGTTAGACCTGGTCCTGTCTATTGCCTGTCTCTACTCTCAGACATTGCCTACAGACAAGCAGCAATATCATCCCTGTCATAGCTCCTGCATCACCTTCCCTTGGTGAAGAGGCTGGTGCTATCCTTCATAGTGATCTCTTGTGATCCCTAAATTGGTCCTGATCCACCTCCTCCTTCCTCACCACCCTACCCTGTCCCAGAACCCAGTTTCCAAATTGATGGACCTACAGCCTTGTCCCTGCACCTGGACTGGCTGCCTCCTGCCAGTCCAGCTGTATCCCACCACTGGCTGGGTGGCTTGTGGTCTTTCCAGCGAAGGCTTTCAGAAATGCTGTCTCTTTTCACTAACTCACTTTTTTCTCTCTCTTTCCTGTGCTGCATTGATGTCTCCATTTTCTCTAGAGCGCTCTCAGCAGGAGGCCGAGAAAAACCGTGTTCTCACTAACGAGCTGCGGGTCATCCTTACTGAACTTAACAACTGAGCTGCCCAGAGCTCCTGGCCCCGACCCAGCCTCCCTGCCCCATTTTGGCCAGGCTGGCTCCAGGCGGGAGCCCCTCCCCACTGGGGTGAGGCAGGGTGTGAAGCCTTGCCTTATCCTCATAGGGGTAACTACCCTGATTGGGCAGGACAGGGCCCCCCTCTGGAGTTGATCAGTTTTTTTGGGAGAGATATGAAGGGTTTTGGGATGTCCTGGGATGCCCACATAGTGATGGCTGTCCTCTGGCAGCATCCTGGCTCTGCTGGGGAGGGATGTGGTGGTTTGTATTGCTGCCTTCCTCCCCTTGTCCCGGGAGTCAGTGGGCAGCCTCTTCCTCGTCACTCTGGTCACCCCAGATTGTGCAGGATGGATCCCCTTAGAAAGAGGTCCTTGGAGGGTGCGGGGAAGGCTGGGAAAAGAGCTGGGGATCCAGCAGCACCTGCTGCCACAAACTTGGGACAGGGAAGAGGCTAGCTGGGCATACTGGGAGATGGGGCTGGGTGGACAGCAGTCTTGTTCCATCCCCATCTCTGGGGGAAGCAGGATGCCATTTGGAAGTGAACACCAGAGGGAGGCTGCCTTGGCAGAAGGCTGTCTGGCAGAGCTTATCCTTGTAGCCTTGCTAGCTCTGCTCCTTATCTCTCTGTTGTCCTCTGCCCATTCTCCTGGGCTGTTAATGGGCTGCTTTCTCACTTCTTTTCTTCACGGAGCACTGCTGGGTCATGCAGCAGGCACTGGTTCTCTGCTTCTGCTGGCCGAGGGTTTGTGCACGTGCCCGCAGCTGGCCAGTGGTGATGCCAAATAATGGTACTTGCCAGCAGCACCTGTGCTGCAGAGTGCTCAGCCACGGGCAACGGGGCAACCTGGGAAGATGGAAACGCTGAAGAGTGGTAACTGCCTTTCCCAGTGACCAGCCTGACTGGCCTGGCTTCCCTGGCAGATTCCAGAGTGGCTGGACTCATCCCTATCAGAAATGGGGCTACCTGTGTGGACTATGCTCCGCAGGGGACACCCCGTTTGACTGGGGATCGTTGCTGTACTGAAATGTCCATCTGTGTGTGTGTGTGTGTGTGCTTGGTGTGGTGTGTGTGGGTCCTGCTGCACCTGGGTACATTTGGGTTGTGTCTGTGTGTGTGGCTGGGTGTCCCTTGTATTCACAGAGAGCCTGGCCAGTGCCAAAGAGGAGAACGTGGGGATACACCAGGTCCTGGACCAGACCTTACTGGAGCTGAACAACCTCTGAGCTGCCCTCGCAAGCCCCTATCCCTTTTCCCTACCCAACACATGCACCCCACTGGCATGCTCAGGATGCGGTCATCAGCTGAACTGCATCTTGGCCAAACCCACACCTCCATTGAGAAGGGAAGCTCAGCAGCCTTGCACTGTTGCTCAAGGGGATCTTGTTTGTGCACAGCCTAACCGGCTCTGTCCTGTCTTTATGTCCAAATATTAAAGCAGTTTGACAAGATGGATGGCTGTGTTTGGTCCTTTGGGTGGGTACAGGCACTGGGAGAGGAGGTGTGGGTCTCCCTCCCCAGTTCATCCATGGAGGGTCTGCAGGACTTCTGGCTGTGGTGGGCTGGGAATAATAACCATGTGGTTTGGACTGTGTTCCCTCATCTCCATCACTTCCTTGGAACACAGAGGAGACCTCCAGGTCTCGAGCTCAAACTCACCATCCTCTTCAAGTCCACAGTGATAAACTATGTCACTGGCGTGTCCCCTTCCATAGTCTGCATGGTACTGGCGTGGCAGCTGGGGAAGCCACAAGGTTCTTGATGTCTTCATGGAGGGTTCATGTTTATGACAATGAGGAAGCACACATGATAATGCACGCATGCATAATTAGTTGTCAGGGTCTTCTCCAGGTATGGGATTAGCTGCTCACCCTTTGTACTAGTTGTAATTTCTTTTGCCAGTGACTGAACGCCTGAACGCCTGCCTGAGGGACAGCTGTAGAAGCTAGCAAATATTAATGCAGCAGACAAAGTGTTCAGGAAGTTTCTTCCTGGCTTGCTGTATTTTCTCCAACACAAATTGAAGAGCAGCCGGATGTGTCTCATTGCTGTTACCAAAATGGGCTGGATTTCCTGGGGATGAAGCCATTATCTAGTCCTGCCCTTCGCTTTGGGCCCCTCCATGATGTGGACCAAGCCCTGTTGTCCCTCGCTACCCAGCGGATATCCCTCTAAAAGCACATCCACACACTGCCAGGAAACACAATTCATGCTAACCCCTTGTCAAGCCAGACCCAGCAAGAGACCGACAGGGATAGCTTTTGTCATCTGCTTTCCTTTATTTGCTGTGCCTCTCAGGTCAGGAAAGGAGGGTGTTGAGATTGCATCTCTTTCCTGCCCAGGTGCTGCTGGCCTCCCGCCCTCTCCATGGCCCAGCAATTCTGTTTTGTGGTTCAAAGGCCTTCTAGAGCAGGGAAAAAAGCTCCCTGTGCATGGAGTGCTCATCTTCAGTTCATCTTCCCAAGGTTGCAAAGTCTGCTGTGAGCTGCAGCCTCCCACCCTGGGCCTGGAGGAGCTGGAGAGGAGGACAGTACACGGTGTCTTGGACTGCTGAGCTGTTCCTGCGCAAGGCCTGGAGCTCCTCCTTGGGCCCGCCTTCCTCTTCTGCAGTGCATCAGCTGAGCCATTCTGTTGTTCAGTCAAAGCACCTTCCAGGCAGGGGTTGTCTGGCTTCAAAAAGAACCAGTGCGTAAAAGCACCTCTTCTCTGGAAGCCTGCACCCTCCACTGCAAACAAGCCTGCCCTGTGCCCTGATCAGGGTGTGTCACAGTGCCCAGCCTCTGGGTGCCCTTCGCCTTCCTGCTGGGACAAAGAGCCCTTTCACACCCACTGTTTTTCCCCCATTAGCTGCTGCTGCCTCCTGGTTTGGACCAGTCCACTTGACTTAACTGTTTACACCTTGCTGCAAGGGATTTTTATTCCTTTGAACTGCCTGTGATTTGGCAGCGAGATCCTGACTGCTGTTCCCAGATGATGCTCAGCCTGAGAAAGGTATGAGCTATGTCATTGTTCAGCAAAGCTTTGCATTTCCTCCATTCTTCCACCCATTCCTTTCCCCTGTGGCCTCACAGAGAAATAGGTAGGCCAGGGAAAGCTCTGGGAGCATGGGGTACTGTGGAACTGCTGGCATGGGAGCATGTCTCCTCACAGGTATCACAGCCCCACTCTGAGGACCAAAGTGCCTCTGCTCTCCTCCCTTCCTCTCTCTCCACCTCTCCCATGGAATTTCAACCTTTGGATTTCTTTATTTTGGCCTGGCAGACTAAAGATATCCCCAGAGAGTTTTCAGCCCTGCTGTTGGTTGCCACCCTATTGATATACCAGCACATTAACTTTCAGCAGCCTCTCACCTCTGCTCTCTGCTCCAGTTTTCTCATCTCTCCAGTGCCTCATTTCATCTCTGAATCCTTCCCATTCCTTCCCTGCCCTTGAACTATGTGGTGGAGTGGGAGGACCACACAAAGAGCATCTGAGATACTTTGATGAGACTTGTCAAGCTGTGCTGAGCCAGGCACAGACTACTACCACCCCTCAGTCTCTCCCTGCATCTACAGCTTAAGACACTGGGGAGAGGGCCAGAAAAACTGTGTTGCCAAATTGTGAGGGTTTTGCAAAGCTCTGGGGGATTTCAAAACAGGTCAGGCCCCCCTAAAGCCAAGTGCCACATAAATCTCCCAGTCTCCAAATCCGTATTACTTACTTGTCAAAGTCAGCAGAGGACAAGGCAGCTGGAGGGAAGCATGGATGGCCATGACCACGTGGTGCCAACTCAATTTTGTGTGAGCCTGCCCCATATACAGTGCTTGGGGCTGTGCTGCCTGTGAGAGTGAAGTGTGCAGTACAGGAGGACATGTGGCCTCTGCTCCTCTTGCTCAGGGGATCCGGGAGAAGCACTGGAGCATCTCTGCTGCAAGACAGGCCTACGACAGGGTGACAGGCAGAAAGGAACTCCTGGGGACATTTAATTGCATTGGTTTAGCAGTAGCTGGTGACAAGGTAGATTTATTGCCTTCCAGAGCAAAAGAAAATAAATAAAAAACACTTGTTATCAGGGTTCGGTTTTGCAATGCCTTTCTTGCAGGATGTCTTTTCTGTGTTGATGTTTATTGTCTTTGTGGATTGGGCCAGGATCATCATTTTGGTGAACTTCATAGTATTACCTTAGAAGATGATAAAATTACTGGTCTTAGTCTATCACGCTGGCCCATGCTTCAAGTTCTGGGCAGGTCCTGCTTTAAAATCACAGAATAGATGGGGTCAGGAGGGATCTCTAAAGATCTTTGCCACAATGAGATGGGGCAATCTCAACTAAATCACGTTACCCACAGCCCCATCCAGCCTTAGCTTGAATGTTTCCATTGGTGATGGATGGGGAGATCACAAAGATCTGAGACCATTGTGGGCACCTTTGAACTTCTTCTGGCCATTGTCCTCATCCTTGGAGCTCTCCTGCTCTCTGCAGCTGGAAGAGGCATGCTTCCTTCATCTGTCCAGCCAGCAGCCCACAGTGACCAGGACCAGAGCTGATAGAGCACCTTAAAAAGCCACTGCTGCTGCACTGCAGAAAGGAGTGGGGCTTCCATGGTGCCCCTCTTGCTCTCTATCACCTGCAGCAGCCAAATCATCTCATGATACAGATATTCCTCACACACTTCCATCCGTTTCGCTGTGTCCATGTTGGCCTGGTCACAGTGCTGCAGTCTGGGCTGGATGGTCAGCAGAGCCAGAAAGAACACAAGTCTTGCAGTCAAGGCCTGGTGGATGGAAAGGGAGCTTATCAGGTTTGGGTGGAAGGCAGCAGGGGCCTGGGAACACCCAAGATGTCCCCAAAGCCTCTCTGAGCACCTGCCACCATTGAGAGCCCTAAGATCCTCTTCCAGCCCAAAGCACAGTTCTGTGGCCTGTCCTGCCCTGAGGTGCTTGCGTTTCTTCTCGTTAGAAACACCCTGGGCATTGCCCCCATCCCTATCCAACCCAGCATTCCCCTGCATGCACACTCACTGGTCACCAGAATCCAGGAGTGGTGGGCTGTGGCAGCCTGGTGATGTCCCTGGTGACACCTCCTGCTGTGACCCATCCTCCCTGATGTGGCAGCCACCAGAGCCACATGTCCCAGCTGGCAAGCCCCAGCCTTCACCTCCACCCCTCAGTGGGTCCCGGCTGTCCTCACCCAGGAGCTCCCAGAGGCTCTGTAGGCCAAGCAGGCAGAACCCCTGGGGCTGTAACTGCAAGTAACAGGGGTTGTAGGTGGATGTCCCTGGCTTAGTGAGATGTGGCCTCTCCAGGCCAGGTGGGCTGACTCTGGGCTGTCTTGCAAAGAAGTTATGAAATCTTAGGCAGGGACAAAACTATTTCCCTCTCTCCTTCTCTGGGACCACTTGTGCTCTGGCCGTGACTTGGCCTTGTAAACCCTGGTGACCAAGCCAAATATCAGTCATGTCCCCATGGAAAAGATCCACTTCCAGCTACCAACTTGCTGGCTGTGAGGGCAAGCCCATGAGCTGGTGGGGATATGCTGGGACCCACATCTCACTGCTCCCCTGGGATCTCCCTGGCTCAGGAGAGCCCTCTGTACTCCACGTTGGAGTGCTCTGCTGTGAATTGTGCCTCTTACAAACAGGACATGTTTTCCACGATGTAACAAAGCTCTTCCAGACCCCTCCACAGCCTCCTCTGACCTTGCTGCATGAGTGCCAACACTGGCATGGGTGCAGTGTTTCTGCCGGGTCAGCAGAACTCTACACGCAGTGCTCCTGTCCAAAGTCTCCTGGAGGCACAAGGGTGTGTGCTGGGGTGTGGGTGCCTGTAAGTGGGAAGCGCCCCGAAGCGCCCTTCCCTGTGGATCTCGTTGGAATGGGGCTGGACTGGAGGTCCCAAGCAGAGGGAACACAGAGCCACTGAGGATGGCACAGCCTGCACACCTCGCCCAGCCCCTGCTGCTGGGGGGCCGCGCAGGGCCCCACTCCCGGGGTGGCCGTGGGGACGAGGCCAAGCTCCCCTGGGACAGGCTGCGTCCCACAGGATCACGGCCCATGCCAAGCTGGGAGGGGCCCACGGGGACCATCGAGTCGGGCTCCTGCTCCCGCACAGCACCCACAGGCTCACACCGTGCGCCGGAGAGCGTTCACCAGAC